AAGTTAAAGCGAGTTACAACCTAATTTAGGAACAATAAAAATAAGATTTAGACTTATGTAATATTTGATATAAATGGAACAGATAACGAAAGCTGAAGCTCAGTTTTTATTTATATTTTTTAATTAAAAAAACTCTAACGAAGTTTTTTTATATAGCAAAAATATCGAGAAACTAAACATTATTAAGCTTTATAGAAATATTTGTGCAATTGACTTAGAAAAAAAATGATTTATGAGCAATAAAATTTACCTTATCATTTTTATAATTTACGTTTTTTAATAAAATATTGTAATAACCGAGCAATAAACGCACAAGATATATCAAGCATCAAGATTTGCTTTGATCGAATATGACTTCTTCTTATGAATCTCTCGATTTTTCATTTATTATTGTTGACATAAAATGTTTAAATAAAATTAAAATGGACATAAAATTAAACACAAAACAAATTAGATTTAACAAAATTCTATTTGATAATTAAAGCTCTGTTATTATAAATTCTTTAGTGTTTCACCAAGATGAGATTCATCCAATTTTTCAAAATTTAGCTTGAAAATATACTACAACAAATACATAAAATATTTTAGCTCTGTCAAGATTTGGCAATTGGCAAGCCATTACAATTATATTTCCATAATTTATATTTTCCAGTAAAATAATGATAAACGCGCGAAATTGATATAAAATAGATGTAAAATTAAGATTAATATTAAATTAAATATTTAGTTTATATTAAATTTATATTAAAATGTTAATATTGACTGTTTTATCTATTTATACGAATCTCATCTGAATCATCATTTGAATCATATGCACAAAAATTATTTTTATTTCTTAAACGATGATATCTTCTTTTCATGTCATAATTGGTGTAGCATAGCACTAGGTACCTTTAAATCTACCGGGTACAAGTCTTGCGCGATCTAGTTTCCACAATTCAATTCGAACGAAGAACGTTGGGAACTGGTTACGACGATCTAACTGTTTTTTTCGTCATTAATGGAATCTAGGAAATTCATAATTTTTCGCGAAAAGCGCACACCGGCATTCTCGCGTTGAACAATCGGCGCAGCTAATCTGAAGCATCATCGCGATTATATGTTAAATTCACGATGAGTTCGTGCAGCGCGATTGAGCGCGATACTCTTCTCGTGCGGGTCATCTCTATCTCACGAGAGAGGGATAGGACGAAAAATTATACTCTCTGAAGAGTACAAAGTTCACTGAAACCAAGACTCACGTTGTTTCCCAATGTAGTCAGCATCAGCAGTTGCAGAATTGAGCCGGCGTTACATACATTGCGTTGCCGCGTTTTCCTGAGAAAAACTCACCAAGTTCTGTGATTTTTCTCGGTCGACGATGCGTTCTGTTCACTACATAACTACTGTGCGAGGATCTCTTAAGAATTGTGTACAACGTCAGGTCAGTAGTTTTGCTGTCGATCGCACTAATTGGAATGAATCTTGAGTAATCCGGAAGCGTAATTCTGTTGAGCATGACGTTCCATCTTCAGTGAACTTTAAATTTCTCGGCAACATTTAAGAGGTAATTTAAAAAAAATTTGAAACCTCTAATTAAATATCATTAAATATCAAACTAATTATCATTCAATCTCTTGTGTTAAATAATTTTCAATTTCCATATGTCAAAATATATAAATCAATTTATATGTGATTAATTTCAAAATAAACAACATTTATATTAACTCTTAGTAAATAATTAAAATTAAATCAAATTTAATATATTTTCTTGAATTAAGTTGCTTAATTTTTTAATCGCTTATTTTAATTGTTTTAATTAAATTAGCGATAAATGAGAACAGTAGCGACTTGCAGAAATAATTAAAAATAACTCAATTTGAATATAATTTGACATAATGAATTTAACGGTGTAAAGATAATTAATAATCTCTATCGAACTCAACTTGATGTGAAAAATTTCCAAAATTACATGAATTTTTTACTTAAAATTAGATGAAATTTTATTTAAATTTTAGTTACAAAGATATCAAATAGATGTGACAGTGTTTGGTTAAATTTTTTATTTTCTAATTACTAAATAAATATTAGCATCTTCGAAGTTTATCGTATCTTGAAAAGGTGATCGATTCCGAAGATCTGCAGTTACATGCACTTCGCATGAAACATGTTAATGTGGTATGCAACCGTTGAAGGGTCTCTCATTTGTGGTAAGCCGCACAAATCTCTCCTCCTCCTCCTCCACATTTCCTGCTATACCGCAAGCAAACGCTTTTTGTCACTCAAGTCACGCACTCTTGTCTTACATCGCGGGTAGAAAATTTTAAGCGTTCGTGCAACGTAATGCGCGATAGAAAATAACTTTGTAATAATCTTAGTAACAGTAAAAGAGGCATTTTCATGATAACGTGTTGCACAATGATGAAGAGGTGATTGAAAAGCATAAAGTGCGCTGTAATTTTACAAAATATATTATTTCATGAAATTTCATGTCTTTCATCTTCTCATTTTCACATGAAAATGAGTTATATGCGCATAACGCGAATGTATATGTATATATATATATATA